TCACTTCTCGGTTAACTCTTTCTCTCTTCCTTACCAGATCTGCTGGAGAAGTCAAGGGTCACTTTCCAGCTCAAAGCGGAAAGAAGCTACCACATATTTTACCAGGTCACCTCCAACAAGAAACCAGAGCTAATTGGTAGGAAGGGTTATTGAGCTTTTTTTGGAGGAAGGTCACTGAGTAACAATTAATTACATTAGATTTACAATGAAATTTAACCCAAGAATATCCATTTGTTTTCAGAAATGCTCCTCATTACCACCAACCCATATGACTTCCCTTTTGTAAGTCAAGGTGAGATCACTGTTCCCAGCATTGATGACAAGGAGGAGCTGATGGCTACAGATGTAAGTAACATATAAAACAGGTCATCTGTTGAGTAGGTTACCTAGTATGCATACATTTTACTCTTCTGATTCTGTCACCAGAGTGCCATTGACATCCTGGGCTTCACTGCTGATGAAAAGACAGCTATTTACAAGCTGACAGGGGCTGTCATGCACTATGGGAACTTGAAGTTCAAGCAGAAACAACGAGAGGAGCAGGCAGAGCCAGATGGCACAGAAGGTATTAAACTGAATAACACATTTCTGTAAGTTATTCAGTGTGTCAAAGACATACTATTAGTCACCAAAATTTGGTCTTAGGTGGACTTTAGGGTCCAAAGGAAAACAGCGAGAACTGAGATTAACAGATCGCAATAACAGATTGAAACTGCAGCTTCTTGGAGAATACTTGAGAATTCAAAATCCGAGTCCATAAATTCTTCCTTTTTCTTTTTGTTCCAATCTTTAGTTGCTGACAAAGCTGCCTACCTGATGGGTCTGAACTCAGCTGACATGCTCAAGGCCCTGTGCTTTCCCCGAGTAAAAGTTGGAAATGAATATGTGACCAAAGGTCAAACTGTGCAACAGGTTAGAAACATACGGTAACCTAAAACTATCCTTTGAATTGACACTCCACTGACTTGCTTCCACTCTCCTTGGTAACTCCAGACCTCCTCCTGTGCTTCAGGTTCACAATGCTGTAGGTGCTCTCGCAAAGGCTGTCTATGAAAGGATGTTCTTGTGGATGGTTGTTCGCATCAACCAGCAGCTGGATACCAAGCAACCCAGACAGTACTTCATTGGTGTGCTGGACATTGCTGGATTTGAGATCTTTGATGTAAGAAACAAAGCCAGTGTACTTGGAAGTAGATGTGCCCACTCAAAAGTAAAGAATGGCCCAAGTACAAGATTTGTTTGCTTTAAGGGATCAAGGACAGGATGGTGTAAAAACATATATATCATGATAGGCCTAACATTCTGCACTTTCTTTCCCCGCATAATTCCTTTTTAGATAGTGTAGGAAATATGTTTTATGTTTACTTTTATTTCAAAGAGAAGACTTGATGCATTGTTCTGTTTCATTATACAGATATAAAGTGCACTGAAGAAATGCAAATACTTGACAGTGAAGCCAAGATAACTGAAATTCTGGTTTTTAAAGGAAAAAGGAGTTGTAGTCATTGCTATCTTGCAAATATGCATCTTTCTCTTTTTTTTTTCACAGTTCAACAGCTTTGAGCAGCTGTGCATCAACTTCACCAATGAGAAACTGCAACAGTTCTTCAACCACCACATGTTTGTGCTGGAGCAAGAGGAGTACAAGAAAGAGGGAATTGAATGGACATTCATTGACTTTGGGATGGACCTGGCTGCTTGCATTGAGCTCATTGAGAAGGTATCCTTTCTGTTCACTAGGTGTACACAAATTCTCTTATTCTATATCTTGGCCTTATTACTCAAAGAGCTTTTCCTTTGTCCAAACATTCAGATTTTGCTCTTCAAAATACCATGTCTTGTACTTTATTTTTCTGTGAAGAGAGACATCAGAATGTTTCACAGAATTTTATGAGGGCAGCTCTTTACTGATCTCTTTTCAAGTGCCAAAAGATTGCTAAATTCCAAATAACAGTATTCTTTCAAAACAGATAGAATCAGTCTTCCATTTAGAGTGTCTTACTCATTCTCCAGCTCAAACAGACTAGAACTCAGACTTATATAGCAGAACAGCTATAGAATTGTAAAATGAAATATAAACATTGTATATGCATAGCAGTTAGCTAACAGTCACACATCCTTTGATTGCATCACTGAGAAGGCAGTCACATTGCACATGGGATGCAATACTCAATGATAGCAAGATAGTAAGAAATTAGAATCACATAAGGTCAATAGCACCTCTGGGGACTATGTAGGCTAATTCCCTTCCTCAAAGTAGCGTCAGTTAGAGCAGTTGTGTCCAGCTGGGATTTGAGTATCTTCAGTGACAGACTCTTAACAAGCTCCATGTGCAACCTTTCCAATGTTTGACCACCCTCCCAGCAAAAGTGTTTTCTCTTAGGTGTGAATGGAATTTTCTGTATTTTGATTTATACCCACTAACCTTCCTCCTGTCACTGGGTATCATAGAGAAGAATCTGACTCCTCCTTCTTCTCTCTCACTCATCAAATATTCATACACATTTATTGATAAGATCCCCCTGAGACTTCTCTTCCTGAGTCTAAATAATCCCAGGTCTCTCAGTCTCTCCTCATCTGACAAGATGTTCCTATCCTCTAGTGGCCCTTCAATCCAGCAGGTCTATGTCCCTCTTTTACCGGTCAGCCTTGACCAGGAAACCACACTACAGATGTGGCCTCACCTTTGTTGAGTAGAGGGTAAGGATCACCTCCCTCAGCCTTCAGAGAACACTTTTCCTAATGCAGTCCAGGATGTGTAGGCCTTCTTTACCAGAAAGGTGCACTGCTGACTCATATTCAGATGTCAGATAAGACACCTGTGTGTACGGTGATGTCCTTTGGATAAGGTTTTGTCTGTGTTTTATAAAGAAGGTTTTTGATATAACTAGATGAACTTCCATTAATCATTATGATTTATCTGGAGCTAAAACACATATGTATCGACATATTTAATCTCACTTATTAGGAGAAAACATTATATAATAATAATATTTTCTGATGTGTATCTCAGCTTGTGCTCCTCCACTCTGCATAACTGAAAGCCATATTGTCCTGAAAATTAATTTGCAATTTGTCTCTCTTGTGCATTTCTTCCAGCCCATGGGCATTTTCTCCATCCTGGAAGAGGAGTGCATGTTCCCCAAGGCAACTGACACCTCTTTCAAGAACAAGCTCTATGACCAGCATCTGGGCAAGTCCAGCAACTTCCAGAAGCCCAAGCCTACCAAAGGAAAGACAGAAGCTCATTTCTCCCTCATACACTATGCTGGCACAGTGGACTACAACATCACTGGCTGGCTTGAGAAGAACAAGGACCCCCTGAATGAAACTGTCATTGGGCTGTACCAGAAATCAGCACTGAAAACACTGGCCTTACTTTTTGCCAATTATGGTGGAGCAGAAGCAGGTCAATATTTTGACCACATTTTACAAAAGGTAAACTATTAAAGGCAAAAGCAAAAATCTAACACCCATTTAATGTTTTTTTTTTCAATTTTGCAGAGGCTAGTGCTGGTAGCAAGAAAGGTGGCAAGAAGAAGGGTTCTTCTTTCCAGACTGTCTCAGCTCTTTTCCGGGTATAGTATCTCTTCCTAAGATAAGGTGTAACCACATCATTTAAAATGGGTAGGCTTTCTTTTTGCTTACTTGTGTAAAAAGATCCCTGCCTCTATCCATTAATTATAGAGGCTAATTACTTTTTAATAAATTTAATATAATAGTTATAATTCATGAGATTCATTTCACTTAGTGGAAGATGGATCTCATTTCTACTGAACATTTTTAAACTAGAGTAAGCCAACTCCTCAGTCTAATTCCACACAAAATATACTGAAATGCCATGTATGTTGAAAGTACAATATTTTCCACTTGTTAAACAGTAGAACTTTATATCTTAATTTAAGAATAATATTTTCCATGGAAAGTAGGAAAAATGGGTACAGGTGGCACCAATTCAGGATTTTGCAGAAAAAAAATTGTCTGTATTATCATTACCTCATTACAGAGGGCTTGATTATTATAGTGGAAATAACATTTGCTAATATAAACTTTTGTTAATGACTCTCCCAGGAGAATTTAAACAAGCTAATGACAAATCTGCGGAGTACTCACCCCCATTTTGTACGTTGCATCATCCCAAATGAAACAAAAACACCTGGTAAGAGACTTACATATAGAAGGTTATAAATATGTTGGAGCTTTTCCTCTCTGTAGCAGAGAATATAGTACTTGTGTGCTCTCAACTCTTAGGTGCCATGGAGCATGAACTGGTGCTGCACCAGCTGCGGTGCAACGGTGTGCTGGAAGGGATCCGAATTTGCAGGAAAGGATTTCCTAACAGAGTCCTGTATGCAGATTTTAAACAGAGGTTAGACTGCTCCCCATTCCTGCGTCCTTTTGGTAATGTATAGCACCTTGTGGAATTTAAGCATCTATGGTGACTAAAGCCATTTGTAAAGTTTAGATTTAACAGCTGTTTAATGTTCTCAAAAGTTCTTAAATCATTTCTTGCAGTCTATTGTCTAACTAGTTTCAACAATAGACATCTTTATATTCTGTTTTCTCCCCCAGATACAGAGTATTAAATGCAAGTGCTATTCCAGAAGGACAGTTCATTGACAGCAAGAAGGCTTGTGAGAAACTTCTGGGATCAATTGATATAGATCACACTCAATATAAATTTGGTCACACCAAGGTATCAGAACTGTTTGGTTCAAAAACTGTGTGTGTTTTGATTTGTATAGACTGAGAATGATGCTCAAATTCTGCAGGCAGGGTACTGAATGATCAAATATTATATTTAAAACAAATCAAAATTAAGTGTTTTTGGACTTCATTATAACTTGGAAATTCATTGCATAGGATCGTAGGATGATCCTGTTTCAGGTTTCCCAATTTAAGACATAGCTGTAGAACAAAAAAACAAGAGCTATCAAAAATAAAGGCATAAGGTCTAGCTCATATAGGTTCTGAACTGCAGGTTAATAGAAACTTAGGGATATCACTACATGCTTTTGCTCTTTTTCTTAACTTCCCATATTATCTACCTATTCCAGGATACTGGACGACACTGAACAGTGATCAGATACACAGTACCTATTTTTATGTTCTATCTAAGGTGTTCTTCAAAGCTGGACTGGTGGGTCTCCTGGAGGAGATGAGAGATGAGAAGCTGGCACAGCTCATCACTCGCACACAGGCCAGGTGCAGGGGCTTCCTCATGAGAGTGGAGTACCAGAAAATGGTGGAGAGGAGGTACACATTTCTTCAAATTAGGCTCACTGTACTTGGCTTGCTGGGTCATCACTGTCTAAATATTTTAATTCTTTTGCATTACCTTTTAGAGAGTCCATCTTCTGCATCCAGTACAACATTCGTGCATTCATGAATGTCAAGCACTGGCCCTGGATGAAGCTGTTCTTCAAAATCAAGCCTTTGTTGAAGAGTGCAGAATCTGAAAAGGAGATGGCCACTATGAAACAAGAGTTTGAGAAAACTAAGGAGGAACTTGCAAAATCAGAGGCAAAAAGGAAGGAGCTGGAGGAGAAAATGGTGAAGCTGGTGCAGGAGAAAAATGATTTGCAGCTTCAAGTGCAGGCTGTGAGTACTGCCAATGCATCTGATCTGAACTGTGATTATCAACACAGGTTTATATGTAGAGCTGCATTTTTATAAGACATGTAAAAACTATGATATTAATGATATAGTATTTCCTTAAGTGGTGCTCTTAAAAATGTAATTAGTTGCAATGAGGATTGTCACAACATTGTGGTCAAGGCTTCACAAGATGATCTTTATACCACAGGTGAGACTTTTCTAGGATGGTTCCTGAGTTTTCTAACATTTACCTTTGATGAAAAAGGAAAAGATAAAAGGGCATATCATTATTTTCTTTATTCTCAACTAAACAGAATTTAATGTTCTCGTTCATCATCCTAAAAGCCTCATGAACATGAATTAGAATCACTGTACAGCATTAGGATATATCTAAGACATTGCAAACCTGTGATTTCTAAACAAAACCATCCATAGAATCAACTGTATCCACAAAATAATATAATGCAATACATATGATGTAGTTAAAGATAAGTGGTCCCCTTATTAAAGCATCTTTAACTGCAAAAAGATTTCAGATCTGTTCTCCGCTAAAGTTATCATTTTTCTAACATAGAATATTTGCTAGATTGAAGAGGGAGGTAAAATGCCAACAACAAATACTGCAATATGTCTGCTACGAGAAATCCAGAGTCAGGTTTTCAAAACGGTTCATTTTCCAAAAGCTCCCGTTCTTCTTAGTTGATGGGATGCTAAGCATTTTTGAGAAATGTTGATGAAAATCTAAATCATAAACAGTTGCTCTCAAAAGAGTAGGGTAGACAAACAAACACAGGACTGATGTCAGCACAACTTTGACTTTGGTATTTATATGTAGGATAGCATATACTCATGGCTCAGCACTTTATACATATTTGAAAACACAGGAGATCTGTGATTAAACCAAAATTTATATCCTTGTTGTACTGTTGACAAAATTTATATCCTTGTTGTAATGTTGATCTTGATGGGATCTACACATTATACATTATACATGTATATAAATACATAGGCTCTCATATATATTGAAAACAGTTGTTTGTTGTTAGCTTTCAATATTAGTTGTTAGGAAAAACAGTCAAAACAATTTAAAGACAATTTTAGGTTACTGTACTTTATGTTACAAAATTGCTATCCAACAAATCTAATTGCTATTGCAGCAAATGATGCTAAAGGGTAAAGATAAGAATCTCGGTATCCCTCTGAAGACATATCCAGAAAAAAAATACTTTCCCAGCTGATGCTGAGGAGAGATGTGACCAGTTGATCAAAACCAAAATCCAGCTGGAAGCCAAAGTCAAGGAAGTGACAGAAAGAGCAGAGGATGAGGAAGAAATCAATGCTGAGCTGACAGCCAAGAAGAGGAAACTGGAGGACGAATGCTCAGAGCTGAAGAAAGATATTGATGACCTTGAGTTAACACTGGCCAAAGTTGAGAAGGAAAAACATGCCACTGAAAACAAGGTATAATGCACGAGATGCGCTTGTCATGCCAGAAAAGAACTCAGTGTTGTTACAGCAGTGTTCCGTATCCATTTGCTCCCTTCTCACAGGTGAAAAACCTCACCGAAGAGATGGCAGGCCTGGATGAAACCATTGTAAAGCTGACAAAAGAGAAGAAAGCCCTCCAAGAGGCCCACCAGCAGACACTGGATGACCTGCAGGCAGAAGAGGACAAAGTCAATACACTCACCAAAGCTAAAACCAAGCTGGAACAGCAAGTGGATGATGTAAGGACATGCACATTAAGTGAGACCAAAACAACTGTGAATTTAGAGCTGACTGGCCGAGCGTTCACATCCTTGTTGTGTTTAGCTTGAAGGGTCCCTGGAGCAAGAGAAGAAAGTGCGCATGGACCTTGAGAGAGCCAAGAGGAAACTGGAGGGTGACCTGAAACTGGCCCATGACAGTATAATGGACTTGGAAAATGATAAGCAGCAGCTGGATGAGAAACTGAAGAAGTAAATGTGGTTGTGGGGCACCTTTGGGTTTTGTAGGTGGGTATATGTTTTTTGTTGGGCTCTAACATAGTTTTCTTTGTGCACAGGAAAGACTTTGAAATCAGCCAGATCCAGAGCAAAATTGAGGATGAACAAGTTCTCAGCATGCAACTGCAGAAGAAGATCAAGGAGTTGCAGGCAAGTCTCCGTTCCGTCCATTCTCTCACACTGACAGAGGTCCAGTTGGAGCAGGGCATGGGTGTGATTGGTGCCTACTGTTCCGCAGGCCCGAATTGAGGAACTGGAGGAGGAAATTGAGGCCGAGCGGACCTCTCGCGCCAAAGCAGAGAAGCATCGGGCTGACCTCTCCAGGGAGCTGGAGGAGATCAGCGAGCGCCTGGAGGAAGCAGGGGGAGCTACGGCAGCTCAGATCGACATGAACAAGAAGCGTGAGGCGGAATTTCAGAAGATGCGGCGCGACCTCGAAGAGGCCACTCTGCAGCATGAAGCCACCGCTGCCGCCCTGCGCAAGAAGCACGCGGACAGCACAGCCGAGCTCGGGGAGCAAATAGACAACCTGCAGCGTGTCAAGCAGAAGCTGGAGAAGGAGAAGAGTGAGCTCAAGATGGAGATTGATGACTTGGCCAGTAACATGGAGTCTGTCTCCAAAGCCAAGGTACAGAAATGTTTATTAATAGCCATATGAAAACAATGGAATATTTATGTTAATAACCTTACCTTTAAATATAATCGGGTTATAATATAAATGTCTTTTTCTAAATCTATTATGTGGAACAGAATTCGTAGACACAATCTCCAAAGGAGAAATACAGGATTCTGCATCTTCTGATCACATGTTTCTGCTAGAGGAGTTAGGAACAATCTTGATATTAATCCTCTTTTCTTATATCTACTTGACACTTAGGCAAACCTGGAAAAGATGTGCCGCACTCTGGAAGACCAGCTGAGTGAATTTAAATCAAAGGATGAGCAAAATCTGCGCATGATCAGTGATCTCAGTGCTCAAAGGGCTCGCCTGCAAACAGAATCTGGTGAGACACTATCTGTAGTTTGGAAATGGAACTCCCTAAAAGGCTTTATAAGATAATGAATAACTACTAAAATATTTCTAACTTCAAACTTCCCCAGGTGAATATGCACGTCAGGTGGAGGAAAAGGATTCTTTGATTTCTCAGCTTTCTAGAGGAAAGCAGGCTTTTACTCAACAGATTGAGGAACTGAAGCGGCAACTAGAGGAAGAGATAAAGGTGAAAATATTTCATACTGCGTATGAAATACATATTAAAAATATAACAACATAGTAGGATACCCATTCAAGGCTAGTGTAAAATTCCTCCGATATATATACTTCTCCCTGATATACGTATTGTGCAGAGAATACCTTCCCTTGTTTCAGCTTTAAATGATTAATGCAGTGGTTTAACTACTACTTCACTGGGATAACATTCCAGCGTCTGAAGGAAAGTATGAGGTGATTTTCCTTCTAATCCTTGTTGCCATCCTGATCTCCTTAGGCCAAGAATGCCCTGGCCCACGCCTTGCAATCTGCTCGCCATGACTGTGACTTGCTCCGGGAGCAATATGAAGAGGAGCAGGAAGCCAAGGGGGAGCTGCAGCGTGCCCTGTCCAAGGCCAACAGTGAAGTGGCCCAGTGGAGGACCAAATACGAGACGGATGCCATTCAGCGCACTGAGGAGCTGGAGGAGGCCAAGTATGTGGTAGTGGCGTGCAAGGAAACCAGAGGAGACTGGAAGTACGAAAGGGACTTTCAACTATAGAACGTGTCCTTTGGGAAAGGCAAAGACAAATATGCTCATCAGGCTGAGAACGGCTCCATGGGTGGAGAAGGCTGAGAGACACTAGTAAGGGAAATTTGAAAAGACCATAGAGAAGGTGACTGAAAGAGGCCAAAAGTAGGTTGGGGAACATGGGAGGGTAGAGCAGAGTGCTATAAAGCAGGATGCAGTTAGGAAAAGACCAAGGCAAATAGGCTTTCTGAAAAAAAAGCAAGAGAGACCATATGTGAGATGTGCAGAGAGCAGCAGGATCACTAGCACCCAGGGAAAGGAAAAGGGAGCAAAATTACTTTCTGGGACAGAGTATACACTGTGTGTGCATGGGACCAAATACAGAAAAGTGGCTATGCATGCCACTGTGAGAAGTACCATGTCTGCCCAAAACCTGTTCCCCTTTGCTTCTTCACTGGGAGCTGTATTTACCACCTCCCAGGAAGAAGCTGGCACAGCGTCTGCAGGAAGCTGAGGAACACGTTGAAGCCGTGAATGCCAAATGTGCTTCCCTGGAAAAGACAAAGCAGCGGCTGCAGAATGAAGTGGAGGACCTGATGATAGATGTGGAAAGAGCGAACGCTGCCTGCGCAGCTCTGGACAAGAAGCAGAGGAATTTCGACAAGGTAAAATGGGCTGTAGCCTTGTGGTCTGGTGAGAGAGCATCCTCTTGTGATTGTCAGGTCCATAATCAGGCCCTGCTGCTCTTCAGATCCTGTCAGAGTGGAAGCAGAAGTACGAGGAAACGCAGGCTGAGCTGGAAGCCTCCCAGAAGGAGGCTCGCTCTCTCAGCACGGAGCTGTTCAAGATGAAGAATGCCTATGAGGAGTCCTTGGGCCACCTGGAGACCATGAAGCGGGAGAACAAGAACTTGCAGCGTAAGTCCTGAGCACTCTGCTCCTCACAGGCTTTTCTCACAAGTTGTTGATTCACCAACCCACAGGGATCTGGGCCTGCAGTCTTGTGAGGGTGCGTGTCACCTATGCGTGACAGGGCCTTTCTCCTCCTCTTCAGTGCCTGACATTTTTCTCTGTCTCTACAGAGGAGATTTCTGACCTCACGGAGCAGATAGCAGAGAGTGGAAAGGCCATTCATGAGCTGGAGAAAGTGAAGAAGCAGATAGAGCAGGAGAAATCTGAAATCCAGGCAGCTTTGGAAGAAGCTGAGGTACATGGCAATAGTCATACGAGCAGCAGGGACATTTGGTTAGTCAATGTGCTCTAGTTGTAGAGCAGAACCAACTCAGATTTCCCAAAGCACTGTGTACGAAAGTTCTGGAGGATTAAGCAGTAGGTTTAGTCATGCAATAACTCTCCCCATGCATTTGTACAGGCCTCCCTAGAACATGAGGAGGGGAAGATCCTGCGTCTCCAGTTGGAGCTCAACCAGGTCAAGTCTGAGATTGACCGGAAGATAGCAGAAAAAGATGAGGAAATTGAACAGCTGAAGAGAAACCATCTCCGAGTTGTGGAGTCCCTGCAGAGCAGCCTGGATGCTGAGATCAGGAGCAGGAAT